CATATCCACTTGGCAGGCATGTCATATGTTTCGGGGGGTCTGTGTTGTGGTGGTGTTCTTTTATTTCTTCTTTTTTAAAATTTGAGTTAATTTGCTACATTTAAGAGATTTAACATGAAAATATGGCATAGTCTCACCTCTTAACTCTAGTCTTTTTGGGCCTTTGTGACTCGCATTATTGGCCTGATCGTTTTAGCATTAATATTTGCAACCTTTGGTATAAAGGCTAAGTATCTTACCTAGAGTGTAGTGGCCAGATCTGAAAACAAGCCCTTTGGTGCAGCTTGGCCAATACACAATAAAATAAAACTATTGCCTTAATTTATTTACCAAACATTTATAAGGTTCCCACATTGCTCTGTCACTGTATTCAGTGCCCAGAACAGAAAAGTGAAGCTAACCTGTGTCCCAGAGCTCACAGTGTAGTACAGGATGGCAAATCTAAAAACAAATAGGTGACATGGGTACAGTGATAGAAGCATCTACAAAATTTAACACAGTGCACTTCTATTGCAGGGAGAGGGACAGCTTGAAAAGACTTTATAGAACAGATAATGTATTAAAAGATATTTACTATCAGAATAGTATAGGGCAGGAAGGCAAGAAAGAGAAGAAGAAAATAAGGGAATTCTAAATGTTCCTTCAACAGTACAACCCCTGCCTCTCCATTTGCTTTGAGATTTCAGGACCTCAAATCTACCACTCAAACCTTATTTAGTAACTTACTCTGTTCTTCCCCTTGTACTCCTCAATATCAGTCATGCCGAATTACTGAAGTTCCCCAAATACAGTATTGTTTTGTTTGTTCCCCTTTCCTTCTCCTCCCCTCCCTTTCTTTCTCTCCCTCCTTCCTTTCTTTCCTTCTAATTATTTTATACCTTTTTATTTATTAGACACCATTCAAGGTTCAGGAGATATAACAACTACCAATGTAAAAACTATGTTTCTGACCTCATGGATCTTACATTCTGATAGAAAGAGACAATAAACAAATTCACAAGTAATTTGCTAGTTAAATTTGCCAAGAAGAAAAATAAGTAGGATATTTTACCTTAGAGCTGTCCAAAGAGGGAATGAATCGCCTTGGGAGGAAGTGAGTGTTGATCCTCTCATTAGAAGTGTTTGAACAGGAACTGAATGACTACTTGCTAGATAACTTTCATATTGAGTAGGAGGTTGGATCAGATGATATCTACTTCCTTTCCAACCTGAAGACTTTCTGTATGCTTGCTGGGTTACTACCCTGAGTTTGTATATCCAAAACACATGCATTTGTGATTCTAGGAAAAATCTAGCAACTAATTAGAGACACTCAAGAAATGGTAGTGAGATATAGATAGCCTAAGTTTTAAAGTAGAAATGTTCACGAAGAAACTGCTTTAAAATAGTTCTTCCATTTTCCTTTAGATCAGAGATTGGCAAACTCTTGGGCCACAGAAAAACCTACTGCCTATTTTTGTAAATAAAGTTCCAGTTGAAACATGGCCATGTTCATTTGCTTGTGTACATTATTATTACTTACGGCTGCTTCACACTACAATGTCAGAGTTGAGTAGATAGAACAGAGACTTTCCTGTTGGTCCAACAAAATCTAAAATATTTACTCGTAAACTAAGTTGTATACTTATGTGCATACTATCAAACTTTAAGGAAAAAGTTTGCTGACCCCTCTTTTAATGACTACTGGGAACAGGAAGTGAATCATGGCAGCTGTGTTGGGAGAAAGGGCAGGGCAGGCCTGACTATGTTCTATTTCAGACCTTCCTGGTGTGTTAGGACAGGAAGAAAAGCCTTCAAATGCTGGATAGGGTCACTTGGAACTGAGTTTAGGAACTTTGACAGAAAGGAACCCCAGATGAGAGACATTTGGCACTGTATCTTTCTAGTATGAACTGGAACTGAGCTAGACACTGGCATGGGGAAGTTGGCTTTGAAAGATGGGACTGTCCTTCCCTCATATTTCCCTTGTTTAATATAAACAATTTCCTTCCCTTCCACCCCACCCCCCCTGCCGCCTTCAGGCACAATTAATCATTTCTTTACTTCCAGTGCACATGTATGGTGGTAAAATGTGCTAAGGGGAAAAAAAAACATATTGAGAAGATAAGGGAGCAGAAGGGTGGGTGCTTTATTATGTAAGATGGCCAGAGAAGGCTTCTTTATCATTGTTTTATTGGTGACATCTGTCTGATTCCTTAATAAACACAAGGGTCAAATCATCTAACTATCTTGGGAAGGTGCTGGGTGCATCATAGATGTTCCATAAATGTCTACTAAATAAATGAATTTTGCCTGACTAAATACACTTAGCAGAGTGAGGGAGGAACTAGGAAGAGAGGCATCTATCCTTTCCCTTTTTGGATGTTGAGAAGGAGGTTAAAACATTTACTTCTCTGGCTATGCTTAGGGCCAAGAAGGTCAGAGATAAGTGACATCCTAACCCCATTTCCAATCCATATCCTTGTTTACTCAGAGCAGAAGGGATGATCTTAGTGAATCC